AGTCCCCAACCGGTCGAGAAAACGATGCCGATCGCGGCATCATTTTCGTGGCGGCTCTTGTATCGATTTTTTCTCGACAATAATTGCGCTTGCATTTGAAGAGTGGTTTAACTCGCGACTACCTCGAAATGGAGGTCGGTTGACATTGAGTAATGCCATCAAAGTCATCGATCGCAAGCTGCGTCGGCCAGTGCATGGCAAAGAGAAGCTGTACCTCTTTGTTGGCGTCGATGATTATCACAGGATTAAAAGAGTAAAGGCTCCTCGAAGAGACCCCGACACGTCACTCCTTGGTGAACTAGTTGAAGCCATAGTTGCATTCTTGTGCACGAAGTCATCGGATCTGGTTGTGCTACCCATGTTTGCAGGGACAGATTTGGGTGTGATTGCAAATTCCTTGAATTATGTGACGGAGTGGCTTCCCATGACTCTCTTGACCTTGGATCAAGTATTCACCTCTGTGGAGAGCAATGCAAGTTTTGCTATGCTCCTGCGACAGTCTCAGATTCGTCGCCATTTGTTTATGCTTGGAGGTGTGCCACGATGGGTTGTCGAATACCTGTTGAAACTGAGGAGCTGCTTGCAAGGAGACGTCGTGTCATTGGAAAACATCAACGAATGTTTTGTGGATGTCTTGACAAGTTTCGTGGATTACGACGTGAGCTCACCCTTAGTAGATCCTCCAACGCTCGTTCGCTTGGCGGCCTTTGCCGTATCGGGCTTTACGGCTAACCCAATCGACACGATTGATGGCCGCTTGAAATGGTCAAGACTTCGAGATTCTTCGCTATGTTTACTCACTCTGCGCGAATACTCAAACTGTGTGGCGTATGATGTTCGAGTTCCGTATCCGTTGTTGGCGCATATTGGATCTACAAAGACACTGGCAACCAGAGCAGAACAGGCCTTCGCGACGGCGTTGAACGACATGAGTGAAATGGTGGACTCAACAATGTTCGCCCTTCAACTGTGGCAGTCGTGGGAGATGTTCGGTGCCTGTTTTTATGCAGTGAGAATCAATGCGTTGTTGGTGCTTGGACACTCGACCGTGAAGCTGGGAGATCTTCTACCTGGCGCGCGGATGTCTGAAGAAACACGTCAAATTTCCGTGAAACTTGTTCCGTCAAGAGTGGTTCGGTGTGCGGAAGCCTTTGGGTCCTTAACCCCTCGACTCATTTCAAACAAATTCAATCAACAAGAAAAGTATGACTGGACGTCGAGTGGTTGCATTGCAGTGAATGGCGATGGCGGAGCGGGCGTCGACATTTTTTTTGCGCTGAATGATGCTGTGACTGACAACGTGGTGGTCTTTGTAGACCAGAGAAAGCGACAGTTCGGTAAATTTCAGCCATGTCACGCAAAGGAATATCTTGGCAAGCTGAGTGTTTGTCCAAAGTTTCTTGTGGCACGTGGTGCGCGTGTGGTGAGAGGGGTTTTGAATTGCGATTCCTTGTCGAATCTTGCGACGTATGATGTGCCGCATGACTGTTTCCTCTTGAGCCCAGACGAGAGTGAGCGGTTTTATGGAACACTGGCGTATCATCCAGCGTGTACGCCGTTCATCTCGGTCAACTCAGCGTGCAAAACAGCTCTCAAATCAGTACTTCGAGGCACTTTGAAAGCTGTTGATGAAGCTGCCGAAGCCATCTTGACGAAGAGAAATGAACCCACTGGAGGTTTCAGTAATTCCGACGATGTGCGTTCTTTTATCAAATTTAAGCGGTTGAAAGTCGACTTTGATGACGAGTATGCGGAGTTTCAATCGTAAGTGACTGTTAAACGCTTCAGGTATATACGTCTACAAGGTCAGTGATGTCAACACAGCACTCGACGAGCTTGAGCCTGGTGAACTCGCGCGGGTTGACCATTGAAACGAAATATAGCTCTCGACATTTTTTATTAAATGAGTTTCCAGGTACATCTCTGAACTAGAACTCCATTTGATAATACCAGTCATTGAAATTCAGAAGGAAAAACTTAAAAACATATTAATTATGAGAAATGACAACTATTATTTTTAAATGCATACAGTTGAGGGAAAATAATTCGGTGGATGTCCGATAGTATCGAGTTGGATGGATTATTAAGTTTTTTCCGCAATTAATTTGGCGAGCGGGATCTGTAAAGCATGCGCAGTCATCTTTGAGATCGCAACGAAAACTTCAAGACTGGATGCTATTTTTCCTGTCCGCGCGATGTCGACTCTGCACAATGCCAGTGGAAAATGAAGCCTGCGGGGTGCCAGCAGCAAAATAACTACGCAACATGAAGACGAAGATCGAGATATCATTCTCTCCTTTGTTAATAAGCTGACCACTCGCCTGCTCAAATAGATTTACTACAGGGGAGAGACCTGAGAGCTAAAATGCTGGGAAAGGGCAACTTCCTCATTGGCGAATACAAACTTTGGTTCAAACTGCTCGCAGGACACGGGAAATGCCCCAATGGAAGTACAATGGACAGTTGTAGCAGTGAAATCGTGTGTGCTCATTTGTTCAAACGCTATGAAAGGGCTAAGGACAAATCAACCTCGAAGATTTTAAAAAGAAAATACGACAAAAGAGGACGGCTGCGTTACTCTTCATTCATAGTCATGAGCTCATGTCATCAAATGCCTTAAAAAAAGAGTCTCTAAAACCGTGGAGTCTTATGTCCTCTGCCACGCAATCGATGCCGAACCGATGGCATCGGCGAGAAATAGTAGTTGCACGAATGGTCCACGAAAAGACCATGCAAAGGAGGTTAGCAGGTAAGTTAAATTACAGCTATTCTCATAAAAGCTGTTAAATAAAGACGTTTAATAGCCTAGATTTAAAAATATAAAAAACGATCGATTTGATTTATCTATGATAAAATCGCCTATCCGAAACTGCAAAAAGGGTCGGTTATCAAGATATTGATGAATCCGGAGCGATAGATTCGGCTGCCGTAGCTTGGTTTAGATCACGATATTTGTTAATATTAAAATGGGTACTTGACAAGTACGTTGTAGTATTAAAATAAAAATTTATTAAGATGCAGAATAGTAGACTGTGAGGGGCGTTCTTATTAACGTTAGTAGATGACGTCGGCATTGTTGCATTATCAAACTGTACAGCATTCAGCAAGCACAGCAGTAGAACATATTGACCTAAGCTCCAATCCATCGTCCTCGGCTCAATCGCTCTAGCCTTGGCACCTTTTCCCACTTTACTCTTATTCACAGCCGGTTATCTTGCTGGTTTTCTTTGGTGTCGTCCCTGGTTAAAGACGTTGGACTTCAGTGTTGCGTCGTCCCAAAATTGCATGCGCAAGATATGTTAGATTTAAAAAACTCCCCGGTCATCTCTTCGTTGGTACCGTCCGATTTTCTGGCGCGTGCTTCACAGTCACATTTTTTCCGCGTCGTGGCGAGCATCCTCAATATAAAGTTTAATTAGCTCAGCCCAATTCTTCACTTGACGATGAATTCCACAGCAGGCTTGCTTGCAGCCTTACGCTAGCAATTAGTTTGTATGTAGGGAGGGGGGATTTTTCCTAATAACTAAACCTGGGTCCTTAAGCTCACGTTTCTCGGATTCTCCCCTGATTTAGACTCAACCGCGAACCCCTTGACTGAATTAATGCTGTCAACTTGTCGGAAGGCTGCGCGATATCATTGTATAAGCGAATTGGTGACGTCACCACTTAACATTGGGAATCGCACGCGCCTCTGTTCTTTTTGCAGCGCTTGCGGTCGCAATAGATGGCGATACCAACAGCAGAGAAGAGAAATTTGTTCGCTTACGATAAGTGTGGAGGCTGGAAAGAGAAGGGTTGCGGTGGGACTTTAGCGATGGCCGCGACCGACAACAGTGCCCGTCACGAGGAGCGACACTGGTAGAATGCGCTGGAACTAAACAATTTGTAAAGTGCTTACGGCGTTTATTCAATCATGGGCATTTTGTGTTTTGTCGCAGTACACATCCAAATAGTTGTATGCCAGCCAATACGTACATGTATCCTTGAGGTGCAAGGGTGAAACTGAGAATTGCCAAGCTTCCTTAAAAAGAAAAGTGACTTCAAAGTTACCATTCTAGGTCATTTGCGCTGCTTGACCATAAACATGGGTGCAAAAGTCATGTCGCACAGAGCAATCGTAATTGCCGTCTGCTTTTTGCTCAAAACCTTAACTAAAATATCTGGGGCGCTTAAGAAGAAAAAACCGGCACTGAGAAGTGCAACGGGTCTGTTTATCGGCGAGCTCGTCGCTGACCCGCCTACCCAAATACCCCGCTCGAGTTAGCTTGGTCGCACGCGCTCACTGCTGCCCTCTATAAAGCAGTATTCTATGGATTCACAGCTTGTGATTATCCCTTCAGACACGATTAAAACAAAAGTCTAGCTTTACCGTAATGGTTTTCGAAAACGACGACCGTAGTGCGACAGTTTGTTCAATAGTTTTAAGACAACCGTGAGAAGTGCCATTGTTTTTAAAATGTTGGCATACTTTGCAATTTATTCGTGGTAAAATAATTTCGGAAGATATGAAAATGTCGGATGAGACTTTCTTTTAAACGTTGGTACTAAGGGAGGGGGGGGGCGTATCGTCATGTTTAATTAATCGCATTCTTCCTTTCACATATTTTCGAGGTTTTATTTCGCTGTTGCGTTTACGGAACTGTTAGCACCCACCAGTAATCGCCGTGTAATCCAGAGCTGCGACCAGCGATGTACCTTGCAGAAATAAAGCGTGTTTGCAGAGCGCCGTATCAAGTACTGAGCTAAAGTAAAGAATGTGAGAGGAATTCCCATTTGACTGGTACTATAAGCGACGACTTTCAATTAACACAATACATTTTGCAAATATCCCTTGGTCTCACCTTTCACGATGCGTTTTATCACGAGAATTCTGGATGAATCTGATCGGATGGTAGGACGAGTTTCCCAAGGCAAATTTCAGGTGGGACTGCCCGTTGCACGCTTTACATGCCACTTTGCGATTAACCTCTCGTAAACTAAACCTCCCACCCCAGTCAGGCATGCGCTGGCTCATTTGGATTGCGCTCTCGGCTCTTGTAATGCTCCAAGCGAGCACCCAAGCGCTGTCAACCAACAAAGACAACCTCGAGATCGAGACGAAAAGGTCGAGGCTGGATGCTGTTTCTCCGGTCCGGGTAATCTCGACTTTGCACGATGTCAGTGGGAACCGAAGCCTGCGGGGTGCCAGCAACAAAGTAATCGCGCAACATGAAGACGAAGAGCGCTACAGCACCCGCTCTTTGAAGAATTAGATCATCACTTTCTCGTTCAAGTGGATGTACAAAAAGGGAGAGACGCCAGTGAGCCTGAGAGCCAAAATGATGGGTAAGAACAGCTTACTCGTTCGCGAGTACAAATTTTGGTTTGGGGCCGTTCGCGCGACTGGGAAAATGCCCAAGTGGTCGTACAGTGGACAGTAATAAATAGTGAATTCGTGTGTAGTACGCTTACGCATGTGCACTTTCACTATTAGGGTTAAGCTCCACAAATATATCAATCGGGACGGTTGAGTTTGTGAACTTCCACACAATTCGCAGCTCGAAGAAGTGTGTTAGGAGTCGTGAAATTTTTTTCCTCCTGCAATCTTACGCCCTACTTCAATAAAGTTGCTCAACCAGCGATGTTGTAATGCTAACAGCTGTGGGCCACGGATAGTTTGTCGTCCTGCAACAATTTACCAACTAGGCAATGTTCTGCAACCAGCGATGTTTTTTGCCAGCATTTTTACAGTGTCCAGCAACATTACTCGGATTTTCAAAGTTAACCAACTTTATTGGTTCCTATCCTGCGTAACAAACGTTGCGCAGCCATACATGTAGACACCAAACGCCAATTAGTTTACAAAAGCAGTAACGTGCTCGCCAATTCATCGACGAAGGACCTGCACTCCGGCCTCAAGGAAAAATATAGTTAGGAGCTCGTCACAGATTACACATTGTCTTAAACTCCATTATCTCTACATGTTACTCACAGCATCTTGTAATATTCTCGTGGGGCTCGGAGCCGAGCTCGTCATGAAACTCATAGCAGAAATGATTTAGACTATGTTTTGCGACTTCAATTCTAAAATATGTATGCAATCTTAGGCGGTCGTGTATTGCAGGGATAAAATCATTGAAACAATAATTACGGTATTGGCTCACTAAAATAATTGATTATTGAGCGAAGTCGTATTGCAATGATTATTACTGTCTGTCGAGGAGTCTAGTTTCCAAGAGAAGTACAAATTTTAATTAAATACAGGCAGTCAAACAATACTCTGTTTCTTTTCAATTTAAAAATTTGTAATTGGTATCGAGCATGTTGAAATGATTTTTTTCGCCGTAAAACGTTTTGCAATCTAATATTTAATTTTTCAGACCCCCGCTTTTGAAAATATTCAATATTAGCAATATTTTAATATTGCTAAAAACGCAATAGCTTGTTGGCATATTTTGTGCATGATAACCATCGCTGTTGTCTGGTACCCATAGTGTGCCGAGAACTTAAACGCTCCAAGCTTACCACACCAAGATATATATGAATTATCTCATGCGGCTAAATAAAACGTCCGCTCGATTACGTCTAAAAACAAAGAAAATAGTTTGAGCAACATTCTTCCAGGTAGTGCTACGAGTAGTAGACCTGTCGGGATTAATTCGGTGTATGTAGCGCACACCAACAGTAGGTATCGATTCTATGCAAATTTCAAATGAGCTGATCTTATTTTCCAACCAAACGCTATTAAACTCTGAAGGTTTTACGTTCGTCAAAGGTTTTGCTAAGATGTCAAGAGATGCAGCAAAATCACTTGATTGGTGGACTTGGACAAAATAGTGAGCTTCGTTACTGTCGATTTTGAGGTGTTCTGTGCGGGTCTGGAGTAAATGCAGCTTCTGTCGAAGTCGTTGGTGATATTCCTGGCATTGGATATTTTCTTTTTCACGCCGTTTCGACGGCAGCCAAGCTTGGAGGATCTGCGCCACTCTGTCAGAAATAAGGGGGTAAGTAATTCAATGGTGCTCATACTATCCTGTCAGAACAAGAAGACATAATTACAGATTTACGTCAATTTGAATAATTAAGACGATTCAGCAAACATCGCGTACAGGCCCATCAGTGATATCATGATATTATGAGTGCTCGGCGATCCATATGGAGGAGATAAATTGGTAACTTCGGTGACCTTCGGCAGATACTAGTGGTTCCAAACAATTATATGGATGCGGACATGTTCAAACCTTGCCCCAGCTGACTGTTGCGATCAACAACATGGTAGCGAATACCTGTAACGGAGCTAAATGCAAGTGGCTACACATAGCCACTTGGTTACGAAAGAGGTTTTTCACATTGGTGTGAGCTACACCAATGTCTACATTTGACAGAATGTTGGTCTGCATGCATCCAATGCACTCATTGGTTAAAAATCATTGTCTTAATTCAATTTGTTTAGTAGGATTCGGTCAACAATGTTAATATATTCCTTTCAATTAAAATTATAGATTAGGAGGAATGCCCAACCCAAACAAACATCAGCTGTCATTTTTACCGGGAATCGGCTTTGCTTTCCTATTTAAATAAATCTATGCTTTGGAGCGAAAGTTCAGTTAATCGAAGTGAAACGCAATTTACGCTTCCTCATACACGTGCGCCAACGTGTTAGCCGACGTCCTGGGTTGGAAGTAGGCCCATTACATCTGATAGCAATTTGTAGCCGTCCGCTAGCTGACGAGATCCTATGGAATACGAACACGGGGCGGAGAACCAACCCACGGACAGTAATCCATCCATGCCTAGCTCGAATCCTCCTACCATGAACATTGTGCGTGCAGACTATCCCCATCTGGTGGATCCAGAGTGGGGAGCTCTCCAAATACTGTTAACAGTCATTGGCGGGGCAGCTGTATCGACAATGATACGTACGCTGTCGCCGACAGAGCAACACGGTGCGCTCTGGGATTCATCGTGAGCGAGCAGCACGAAGCTGCTGCAACAAAACTGTTGTCCGGGACAACACCGTGCTTTCGGTCGTTGAAACTGCACGGAGCCGTTAGGTGGGGAAAGAGGGCGAGACTCTTCTCTGATGGCTTGTCGAACACAACCTGACACAGCGGCTCGTCATATCAATGACGAACCGTCGAAGTTTGCGTTCGCCATGTCATGCCTTGGCGGACGCGCAAGGGGCTGGGCGTATGGCCGCCGGCTCACAGATTATACGTACTTAAGCACGTATGTGATCATTTTAAAGGAGGAGCTCAGACAAGCGTTTCATCCCCCTCAGAATGGGTTCCGGTCGAGAGCAGAGCTTCACGACCTGCGGCAAGGTAAGCATGCCGTTCCTGCTTACGCCCAACGTGCGCGGTACTTAATCTCGAACATCGTGACCATTCCGATCGACGAGGCGACAAAGGTTGTCACGTTCGTGAAGGACTTGAAGGATGTGTCGGTTAAGACCTATCTCTTCCGAGTGTACCCAAGTACACTCGAAGCTGCGATTACTCTTGCGATGCAAGAGGGGTTTAACCTAAAGCAGGCTAAGCTGCAAGCGAGAGTGCCAAGGATGGCATGGCCGATGCTGATAGCGGTGCGCCAGAGCCTTTGGAACTCTCGAATGCTTCTGCTGTTGACGCCAACGGCGTATTTGGGGACAAGTGCGATGTTTCCGTTGTGGGTACACTGGACACTTTGCGCCTGAGTGCAGAGCGCCTGTGCACTCGACCAGGGGCCAACGTGGCGATTCCGAGCATTGCCGCGTACAATAAAAAGCCGTGCAGAACAAGTAGGCGAGGCGCCCTACTGGTATTGCAGTCGCGCGTGTCTACAACGGACACGCGACAATGAGGACAGCCCCCAGCGACAGGGCTTCTCGCTGCAAGAATCAAAATGACAAGCCAAATCTTATCATCCTGAAAATGGCGTCGAAGAGAGCTGGCTCTCTTCGTGCTTTGGTTTACTCAGGTGCGCCGAACAACTTTGTTCGACTGGAAAATCGCCCGAAGCGGAACTTCGAGGAAGTTAAAACACATCGCAGTAATATTGAGGTTCGGATGGTAACACCGTAAGACCGGAAAAGCGCGTAGTACGCGTGTGCTTCTCGTACAAACATCGGGTATTTGTGGAAGATCGCATCGTCCTGATCCTAGACGATAGGTTCTGCTTGGTATTGGGCATGCCGTGGCTTGAGCGGCATGACCCAGTGACCAACTGAGAAAGGCGTACACGTGTACACTTCGGACGCAACGCGACAGAATGCGATGACCCTGTCAGTTTAGAGCGTGCACCACGAGGTGCATCCGAACCCACCGTTGAGGCAGCACCTTACGCTGCAGCCTCCGGACCCCATTCAAAAGCCAGTCTTGGTAGTGTCGGACCAATGTGTGACGCGTCCGAATTTGCGATCGGATGCGCTGTGATGCAGCACGATCACGAGGGCCGTGATCTTGTGGTCTACTACCAGTTGCGTCAGCTGAGCTTAACTACCCTGTACATGACAAGGGGTTCCTTGCCGTGAAGTATGCACTTGAGAAGTTTCGAGTGGATTTACATGGGAGTAGACCGTTTATGGTCTACACCGACCACGCTTCACTACAAACAGCAGTAAAGACTCCGTACATCTCGGAACGAATTGCGAGATGGTTATCGTTCTTAGCGGAGTACGATTTTCAGATTGAGTACAAATATGGAAGGTTGAATGTGGTGGCCGACGCGTTGTCGCGTCGACCTGATTAAGCTGTTAAGACAGCCCACGTCAATCGAATTAGCGTCGAACGATTAAGTGTTCCGTCGTCGACATTGATCAACGACGTGAAGAACGCATATACGAGTGACGTAGACTCGAAACATCTGCTAGACTTTGTCTTAGCACCTTCCGACGTGTCATGTCGCCACATCTGCGAGCTCATGCACTCCGATATCGGGTGCACGAAGGACACGGCTTTACGACGCAGTGGACGACGATGCGGATCGCATCGTCGTGCCGAATAATTATGATCTGCGTAGGCGGATCATATACGAGTATCATGATGCCCCTATGGCAGGTGTAACGGAATTACTTGGTGTGGAACACAAAGGGTACGGAGTACCCGGAGAGTAACAAATGCTTAGTACCTAAGTAGGAGAGCTAATAAGATCGCTCAGTACGTTGGCTGAAAGTCACACGTTATGCAATTGATAATGTTAAACTATGCTAGATAATTAAACAGATATGTAGGCGGTTTGGCCGCAATAATAGTAAATAAAAGACTTCTAATTTTGAAGCATAAAAGTTAAGGTG